CCCTTTGCAGAACTAAACCCCTACACCACAATCAAACCAACCTCTGAACAACTTTGCAAGGAGATGACGAGCTGGTTTAAGGAATGGGAGAACAATTTCTTGGTATCGGGTTTTATGGAGGAGTGGAGAAGAGGACTCCAACATTTGCCAAGTCCCTTCCAGCCCCGCTATTTCTATATAAGCAACAGATGAACACGAAGAAGAGTTTGCTTCGCTTGCAGTTTACTTGGGAATTTGATCCGCTTCTTGCAGCTCCAATGCCACCTCCCAAATGAGCACTTGCAGTTTGATCTGTGCAGTCACCCACAATTTGGGGTAACGGGGACAGCTGTTCTGCCCACATCCACCCACGGGACTTGCAAAGGACGGAGGGACGGTTTTCCTGTGTAAGGTGGTCAGAAAATTAATGTGGTTTCATATGACAGCTGAGCAGGAAAAAAAAAAAACCTCACCTCTGTTTGCTGACCTGCACCCCAGCCTGGCCAAAACGCCTCCATTAAACCAGCAAGGCAGCCCACGGGTGAAGGGACGTGGAGGATCTAACACAAGGAGCAGTGGAACAACCTTCATCTCCCAAGAGCAGCAACGTCATGCGGACACTTTGAAATGGTTCCCCAAAAGGTGCCCCCAGCAGTCTCAACGGTGTGTAAAATCCTTGTAATACATACATCACCACTGGGCAATCTGCACCTTAGGTCCTCTCCTGACTATGGCACAAGAACTTTTGAATGTCATTGGAAGGTGGCTCAAAAGTTTTGGGGCACAAGACCTCTGACAAACAGACCTTTTAGGGGTTTTTTTTCCCTCTGAACCATCCTGTTCCTAGCAACGTCAGGTGCTGCTTCCCACAGAGGAGGGAGAAGGGTTAACCCGGCGGGGAGCTGCTGCAGCAATTCAAGGTGCTCCCTCCAGCACCATGGCTGAGTGTTCTCTTCCCAGCAGTTACTGGCTTGAGAGAGAATCAAACTAATTACCTTAGTAATTACCAAACTAATTACCTCTCTAATTACCCAGTGTCTTTGTTCACATGGAGCTGATATTCTTGCAGAGGAGCCCTGGCTCAGTGCCCCATGCTCTCTGGGAACCTGCCTGGCTCTTTCGCAATGACTTGAAGACCCAGGACCTCTTCACACCCTGAATATGGTGTGAAGAGGATCATGCTATCTCCCTCTTTCTCAGGGAAGGGGAGATGCAGATCAAGCTCCTTGGCTGCTGAATGCAGGTTTGCATTGCAGGGATTGTTTTGAAGCCAGGCAGACTATGGAAGGGTACAGTATCTTTGCTGAACATAGGTTTCTCTGGTGGGAATATCCTCAGCAGCATGCTGTGGGATCACCACCACACTGATGATCAAACTAGAAACGTGCTTTCCTCCAGGCCCTACTTGATATTGCTCCAACGAGAACAGCAGCTGAGAGCAAACAGGAAGGTGACTTGAGATGACAGACCTTCCTCTCCAACACAGAGCTGAAAACAGCAGGGTGTTCACCCAGCAAAACCCAATGTGAACATCACCATCAACTTACCTCACCTCCCCGAGCTTACTCTCTCTTCGTTTTCCAGACCTCTACTTGAATCTTGCCTTGGGCTCTCAAGAGCTAGGGTCTGGTAGTCACTCCCCGCTCTCCTGAACTTCAATGTGACAGTGGGCACTTACCCCTGAGAACAAGCCCCAGCTCTTTAAGGGAGAGTCATTTTTGAAACATGAACACAAATGGTTTCATTAACACTGATCATGACCTGTGCATGATTTTGTACGTAGAGATGTTAGAGCCTGAACGCAGAAAGGACTCTCATGGCTGTAGGATTGATGCCCACCTTGCACATGCCCTGTCTTGCTCTCTCCTTCCACGGTCTCCTCTCTTGTGTCACCTGAACACAAACCTGTGCAAATTATGAAGTGACCACCTTACCAAATTCACACCTGCAGCCATTTTCTCACAGGTGAGAAGACACCCAAATCTAAATCTTTATCTGATTTCAACTGGCAACACCCACCTCTCAACCAAATAGGACGTACTACGGGCAGGCGAGCTGCAATGCGTTATCAACTGGCATGGGACAAATGCCTGATGATTCCTGGGTCCTGTCAATGAGATTCAGCAAGAGGGCAAACGACTTAGCCCTAGCTTGCTCTGTCCCTGCTATTTGGGAAGCAAGGCTGCCTCGCTTTGTCCCAGTGGTACCTACTGTGATGAATGGCTGGTTTTGGTTAGGGATCTCTTGGTGCTCATAGAATATAAAGATGCAGATAAAGAAAACACTAGAAATAATTGCTTTGCCTTGCCCAAACCCAATCAGCATTTGCAGCTGGAGGGAAGACCTTGCAACGGTTTGCAGAGAAGAATATTGTCTAGAATTTCTACCATTTTGGAAAGGAAAAGAAGGATAGAAAAGGGAAAGGGTCCCCTTCCTATCGCTTCTTCAGCTTGAGAGATGACATGTAACTCCATCAGAGCAGAGTCCACCTGAAACTCCGTTCCCCTCTTTAGATTCTCTCAGAAAGGGCACAGGATCTAAAAGAGAACAAAGCAGTGGCCATCTGAGCTGTAAAATTTATCCCAACCCGTAGCCATTTCCATATTAAAGCTAATTCCAAATATCTGCTTAAAACTGTAATGCAGGGATATCCTAACAGGTGAAACCCCCCCCCCAGCGCTGCAAGGTTATGTGATCTGTCTCAGACACACACGACTCCTGAGGAAAGGAAGTCTAGTATTTGAAAGAGTCTAACACTGCTAAATTATACAAGAGTAGGATAGCAGTGATTATTTTGACACCATTGAAAGACTTGTGATTTGTTCCACAGACACTGAGCAAAGAACAATGAAAAGCTTTGATTCAGCTGTTACAATACTGCTTTTCCATTTAAAACCCTAGGTAAAATTGCCCTTTGGTTACAGCTGATCAGAGCTTGTGAATGACCAACAAGAACATCTGAAATTATTCTCCACCACGGGCAGAGAGTGTCATGCCTTCATCTGTCATCCCTAGAGAATATCATCCCTGTCATCCCTTTGGAGATCAGGATCCATTAAGCCGAGCTCAAACTCTCAGTTTGGCAGTGAGCAATCTTAGAGAGATCTGGTTATTTCTGAGAAGGAGGGAGACCTCCCCACAAGTTTTCCATTCTAAAAAAAAAAAAAAAAAAGAGGAAAATGAGGAACTTCTTAAAGATTTTCAATCTTGAAATGCAGCAACAAGGTCTTAGCTGGAAGAACATTGTCCAGAGCAGACTAGAGCCAGTACTTTTTTCTCCTTCCCTCCCCCAGTACCACAAACAGCACGCTGCAGACACACACTCCTCTTGCTTGTGCTTCTTCAGTTCCTATGAGCCTTCCTTTTTTTATTATTTTTTTTAAATATCATTAGTACAGTTTCAAAAAAAAAAAAAAAAAAGATGGCAAACATCTCTATTTTAGGCAGACCTACTGCTTCCTTGCGCAGGAATGTCCAATGTCACTTCTCAACACTGTTTTCAAAAAAACAGTGTCCTGCTTGATGTCCATACCAGCAAGTGGGGAGAAGGTAGAAATCCAAGGCTGACAAAAGGACTGGGATGAAGGTACACGGAGGGGTGGCAAAGGCAGAAGATGGGGCAAACTGAAGCTCACTCCAGAAACATTCACAACTGCTGCTCTACTTTAAAGGCAAAAGTTCTCCACAACGTGGACAATTTAAAGTCCACGTCCTGTTTGGTGCAATCAGCATCCCCCAAGCTCACGCAACACACGCTAGAGATGCCGCTACTGATGATACAGAAGATGTTTAAAGAACACAACATCTCAAACGAAGCCCAAAACACAGTTGGAACAAAGCAAGCAAGACTGACTCCCATTGCTCAAGGCTGTCAGGATGGGAAACCAATAAACATTTGGCAATAACAGAGACCTTCCTTCCCGACATAGCTCTTCTCCTGATTTTACAGAATCATCTGGCCTTAAAAACGTCTGCTGTTCCTCTATGCTGCATTTTGCTGCCAATTCTAAGTCTGGCAAGGATGGATCTGCCAACTTCTTGGCTCTCTGTTACAAAAGAGAACATTATAAAGGAGAATTTGTGAGTTAGCTGATTTGTAAACACTACAGCAAGTCACCATGTAAACATGTCGCTTATGTCCCTATTATTTCTCTCAAGCAGTTTACCTGGCACCTGACGTTGAACTCCAGGATCTTCCTCCCCTACTGATATTACAGTTGCTTCACATGTAAAAAAGCTCAGGTTCTTTTTGTAGCATTAAAAAAAAAAAAAAAAATCCTTAATTTTACTGTTAATTAAACAGTACTCACAAAGCATCTTGATAATTAGAATAGAAGATTCACTGGCAATATTTTGAATATAAATGAGATCCGCAGGTGCACTCACAGTTGTACAGTAGGATGCAGTTCGAACGTAGCCAATTAGAGAAAGAGAACAGGTAAATAAATAGCAGAAGGCTCTAGACACATTGCTCATTTGACACTGTTACTATTACTATTGTGTAAAAAATCTTTTCTAAGATTGCTCGATAAGATGAATGCGGTAGTTGTTATCTGAAACAAAAACAATTAAACGAAGCCGGGTAGTCGCAGAAAGATGGTTTGCAGTTTTGGGCACTGTATGCCCTTTCATTCACAAGTACTTTCCAAGAAAGGAAACTCTTGTGGCGCATGAATCACAGCACACCATCACGTGGGATCCTTTTAGGTTGCTGTGATGGAAAACGGTTATATCTAAGTAGCGTTCCTGAAACCAAGGTTGGTTATGTATAAAAGTCTATGCTTTAAAGCTTCAGCAATAACATCTGCTGGAAAAACATGATTGACACAGCAGAGGGAACACCACCCGCCTCTGAGAAGCGGAAAGAGAGACAGACTGAAACATCAATCTTGTGCATAAAATATATTTATTGTTGGTACAGAGCGAGGCATATTCGTCAGTACTTGATAGGAGTGAGGAGCACAACAGAATCATTTCACGTAAATAAAGGCCATGTTACATCTTAAGTGTTGGATCGTTAACATCATTCCAGCAGAAGGCCTGGAGAGAGACTTCATTAAGTTACATAATTTGTGAAATAAGTTAAAACACAATTTACGTCATTATACATTCTAAGGAAAACTTTAATATGAGTGACGAATACAGGCTGTACAGTGAGGAGCAGCGGCCGACTGGCTCACAAAGTACCGCCACGTCCCGGCACACCAAGTGTTACATATCTGTGCCTTTGACAGCGAGAAGTTTTTCAGGAGATTCTACAATGAAATAGCAGCATTTGAAGGATATTTCCCCTTTCTAAGGTCAGTGAAAGGTTCTTTTCTTTTCCTTCCTTCAATCACCAATAAGTGGATTTTACTAAGACTGAACAGTATCTTCGGATGTATGATTTCTGATGTAATAAGATACAGGTCTTGGCTTTTCAAATGGTCAGACTGATTGAGCCGTGATGGCTGCTGCTCTTGAAATGGCTCTTCCAGTTCTTCTCTTTATTGGTCTGCCCTGTAAATGGGCTGTCATATTCTTGGGAAAAAATGCTCTTCTGCTGAAATTAGAGTTGATGGTCTTGTGCTTGATTTGGACAACGCCTTTACCCTCCTCTCCCAAGCATGCTTTGCTAAGAAAGTGGTCAGGGGGAGGGGAAGAGAGAAAGAGAAACACTTATTTCAATAACTCAGAGTTATTCCAGAGAAGTTTGGCTACAATTCCTTCTTAGGAATTGCAATTTTTTTAGACTAAAATATAGAAAAAGAAACATGGTCAACATGCACATCATCACAGAGACAAGTCGCAGAGGCAGAATGAAGCTATTTGAGGACTCACCAAGCCAGCCATTTGGAGGCCTGAAGAGTTGCAGTAACGATTCCTTTTCATCCATCCTAATGCTATCACAGCTCTAGTCATGCTAAGGCTATTAAGGAAATTAAAACGTCTGACCTTACAATAAGATAAATCCCATTCCCAACAATTACATACTCGAGTAAACATATCCTGAAGTCATACGACACCAAGTGTCTCCCCTACCTACCTCCTTCCTGTGTCCTGAGTCATAATCAAAATCTCGATAGTCTGAACACGTTGCACCGACCTTGTGCTTCATTAATCACCTCTTGTGCACAGTCAGGCCACCAAGAGCTAAAAGTATAGACCTGTCAAGTAGTCCAGGAGTTATTCCTCCTGCCACACCAGAGAGCTCTGCCATCAAGGTCTTGACTGTTCAGAGAGGTCCTGCCCTCTACCACGAAAATAAAGACTTGCAAGGACAGTATGTAGGGCTCCACACAGAACTTCCTACTGTCATGATCTAGAAATAAAGGATCTGCAGAAATGGGCACATGCATGGATACTACTTGTCTAGATCAGTCAGGAGAATAGAAAAGTGGGATCTAATAGGACACTGACAGGCTAGGCAGTAAAAAAGGCATGCTGGAGGCCATCTATGTTCACTGGAGGACTACGACGTAGACCAAGTTCTTGCCTTCAAAATTCAGAAAATGGGGAAGATAGTAATTATGAGTCTCCTTGTAAGAAATGTTAAGGAGGGATTTGATAATTTTTAGGGCTTACATCAGGAGCATGCCCAAATGTAAACCTTGAAATCTTGCAGGAGATCTACAAACAGCTCATTCAAGGATTTGAGCAGTATCTGGCCAGACAGGGCATGTTGCCTTGTCAGCGTCACGGAAGTTAGGGCTCGGGAAAATTAAAAATAAAGGGAATGAAAATACTGTTGTCATGTATGTCTTCAAGCAAATTCTCACGGTATTTCTAAAAATAACCCAGTGAACCATTCAACTAGATCAAGCAGTGTCTCCGCAAGGATTAAGAGGTGTACCAAGGAGCAGGCCAGCGTGCACTTGAAAAGATGGTAAATGTCCTTGTGATCACAAATACTCTCCAGAACCCATGATGGAGAAGCACACATTGACAAAATAAAAGGAGTTTGCTTTATGCTCCCTAGGTGCTATTACAAACAAAAATAAGGGAAACTTTTATTAGTTAACAAAATCTCCAATCTCAGTTTGACAGCGTCCCCACGGAGATTTCTGTAAAACTGATGAAGGCTACTTTCCCTGGAAGACTCTTTTCGCAGTGGTATTACAGAAACTTGCTCGAAGCCATCACTGGGCTGAATATTAACTTTACGTAAATTTAACACTGCCGAAGTTAATGCAGGAAATTCCCAAAAGATCTGAGAAAAATTGTGTTACTTTTATTTAGTGTCCTAAGGAAAGGAATTGCAGGTATTTGTTCATCACACGCATATTTCTGCCCACAAAATTTCATCTTCAGACAATTGGGAGTATTCCAGGGCTTGCCTTGGTTTTGTCTACATTTTTTTTTTTAGTGTTCTTTACTGACTCTTGCCATTTAACATCACCTAAGAAATTAATGTATTTAAAATATTTTCTTGTGTTTTTTCATGACATCACTATAGACGTGACGGGAACCTGGTCTGACTCTTCCATAATAAATTTCCTTCAATCAAGGTAGTGTTAAACAGTTGCCAGAAAAGACAAGTTCTTTTTATTGTGTTTCAGCTCAGTGTTTCCAGCTACGCTAATTTTACTTATTTTTCTATTAGATTGGAAGATGGTATCTAGTAAAAATACTGGAGGATGAGGTTAAAATAATGGTTTTATTCTGACTAGGACACGTGATTAAGGACCACTCCATCCTACAAATTAAAGTAATGGTTACAACAAGGCTGGAGAGGCTGAAGGATAAATTTTGTAGCCAGGCTGTCAGACACCAGCTGCTGTTGGTATCATTCTTTGAAGCATTTTCAAATCTCACCTGTCTGCAGAGACTTGCATCCCTCTGAAATTCAACGGTCTAATAGGAAACTATTGCACAGACTTCATTAAGCTATAGTGTAGCTGTGTTTCCATATAGGAATTAGGACTCCCTGTAGCCCAGGGAAAAGAAAAAAAAAAAAAGAAAAGAAAGAAAAAATAAAAAAAAAAAGGGTGTTTTAACAGCCACCCTGTCCACATCAGCGGACAGAGGACCGGGATGAGTGATAAAAATGCCACCGGATGGTCCGTATTAGCGCAGCGACTGGTCTGGCAGGAGTTACTTCAGCAGTGGGAGCACAAATACATCCCACAGACAATCCTAATACCTTCCCCTTAATGGCTCCATTAAGTAAGTTTTTCTCCCTGTTACTATTATAATAAAATGCAAACATTAATAATAGAGTTTAATTTATCTCACTAGCTTCTCACGACTTTGGGAAAAGATTTAAAGCGAAGATACAACAACGTGTCAAACTCCTCTGAATTAACAGCTCTCTGGGCCTCGCTAACAAGGGGAGAAAAGGACAGATAGAGACATGAGATTACAGACAGGATGAGAAATAAGGAGCATACAGAAGAGAGGGTGAGATAATTATAAGCAAGATAGGAAAGAAAGAGGAGTCAATAAATTCAATTTATGAAAAGCACAGAGTGTGCTCAGCCTGAGCACAAGTGCCCAGACTCACCGCCAGGAAATCGGATTAGTTAACTTATTTGGTTTTCAATATCTTGGTCTATTCCCTCTAGCAAATTTTCTTCTTTCTTTGTTCCTTGTAACCAGTGTCAGTTAACTTTTTCATTTCTGAATCTGTTATTTATCCCACTCCTCTGTCTTCCAACTAAGTAGGTAATTTTGCAGTATTTTATAACAGCGTTTAGCAATTATTTCAAAGTAACTGTTTGTCTGGACTTCTGGGCAATCAGCGAGTAAAAATAATTACAATTACAGCTGCAACACATGGAGGATGAGCTATAGAGGACTGATGTTCATTATGAAAAACAATTGTTCCTGCTTGCAAATATTTCCATCATAAAAGGCTTCTCTTCCTCTGTTATCATAAGAGAGAAACCTCTCTGAATTCTCATCTTGAAGCGTGTGTGAAAGAGAATAAGAAGCATTTAGGAAACACTTTTAACTACTTGACAGGCTTGGTTGAAGATCTTCAACAAAAAAGGTATTTAAAAGGGTTCAGAAACCTAATGCTCATATTTATGCAATTTCCTTTTCCTGCACCTTCTGAACATGAATTAATTCACCCTCATCACAGTCTTCTGAAGAAATTCCTATCGGATGCAAACTTTAGTTATAGCTTAAACACGTATAACTAATTACATTTTCTAGTTACTTTTAAAAATAATATAGAATTATAAATACAGTAAATTTCTGTTCCAGATGATGCACGCCATGGTGAAAATCTAGTCCACTACATAACAACCTATTATCCATTGGCCTTTTTTCTAAAATGTCTCAGAAACACCCATGGTCCAGTAACTTCAGACTGGATTTCAGAATACAAAAATCAAATTAAGAAAAAACTGAGAAAAAATAAATATACACACCAGTTATTGTTTGTCATAGTAGGAATTAACAAAAAAAATTGCAATTCAATTTAAAGAAAAAAAAACAAAACAAAAACAACCAACAGTTCAAAAGGTCATGGAGAACTGTACAGCTGAGGGAAGAAGGGGATGAAAAAACATTTGCTGGCTGAAACCACAGCAGGTCCTCTGCCCAAGGAAGGCACCTGGACAACGCTGGTTGCACTTCTCATGCTTGGGCGTCTGAGCACGGCTCAACCATCTTCCCCAAATTAATAAAGTGTCAGTAGCTTTATGAAAGAAAGCCTCAGGCTAGGAAAAATTTCTCATCAGGAAAAATTTTCATGAGCAGGGAGATCTGGTAGGCTGTAGAGTTTTTAAGGAAATGAAGGAGCTCAGGAGCGCGGTGCATGAACAAGCGGGCAGGAGGACATACGGACAAAGGATATATCGGAGGAGGTGATTTTGAAAGGGACAGGGTGATCTCACTGACTGCTATTTTTCATCACATGGATCCTCTTTAAAGTTATCACTGATGATAACAATGTTTAATATCATAAAGTGATCTTAAAGTGTTAACTCCAGCAAGATCTTCAGTAACACCAGAGCAGGACTGCACCAGTGTAACAGCAAAAAAGGTCACTGGAATGATTATAGCCAAAGTCGTACTACTTTTCTGTACAGGCAGAATTAACTCCAGTGAAAATTATTATCATTATCAAATACTAACCGTGCTTGCTGGGTCTCTGCTAACATCAGACCATGCGTTTTCACATGTTCAAATATTAACTCATCGGTTTTAGCAGAAATAAAGATCGACAGGCTTATTTAAGCACTTTTTACATACATCCATGGTCTGTGAGCACATTTCCAACTGGCTGCTTTGAAAACACGATGCCAACATAACCTTCTCTATATTTGAAAGATATAAGCTGGTGAAAAGGACTATTATTTAGAAATTTTAGTTTCTTTTAACTGAAAGATGTACATATTACTATCATTTTCCCTTACGCTGCACTAATACAGCATAAAGGTTTTAATCTACAGTAACAACCCATACCTTGGAAAACTGGATGAGAGGAGGGCAAGGCCAGGTAAAGGGCGGCATTAGACTCTCAGAGGACGTAACATAAAAGAAATCAAGACTCCTACCTGGTGAGCAATCCAGTTTCAGACATCCATTCATTTGTCCTATTTATGGCAAACAGTACCAGATAGTTTAATCCCCTTGTTTTACTGCTAAAACTGCGGACAGCAGGAAACATCTGCCCACAGCAACAGCTACTACACTAAACAATAACTTCCCAAGGGAAAAGATGGAAACCCTAGCATTTAAATAAATTGAAAGTGGACTCCACAGAGCTTGTGAGAAAACACATACTGGGAACTGTACTGCGTTAGTAAGTACTAATTGGATAACCCGATAGTCGCCTTCTCTTCATTCCATCGTTATTTCAGTGGCCATTGAGTTTCTAACTCACCTGTTTGGCATGATTAACACAATGCAGGTACTGGTTAGCCAGGGCAGAGCAGCTGAGGGTCTCCTGAGCGTGTTGCCGATAACATTGTAGAATCTTATCCTGCAGATCAGCGCAGATTGGATGGGACTCATAGCGCCTGGGCAAAGAGAAAAGAACTTTTTGCTTTCCCTCTCAACAAGATTTCAGGAAAGATGCAACTCTCTTTTTTTTAAATTATTTTTTCTGAAGAAGCAAACTAAATAATAGAAGTGAAGGAAAACACTTTAAAGTTATAAAGAAAGGCTGTTTCTAGAGCTAGCTGGGTTATAAAAGTGGGTAACATCAGATGCAAACATCAACGTGAGCTGCAGAAGTTTGGCTGTTAGGACCACAAGTGTCCTCCTGATCCGGTACTCAGGTTCCAGCTGGCAGAGAAATTTAACGTCCAACTTCCTATGAGCACACATCTTTACTGAAGATCCCAGCTATGACTAAACACATCTGATCTCACCTACATTATTAGAAAAACAGTCGCAGAACCACAGGAAAGCTTCGTCGCTGTACAGTCCTATGACCATATAATCTTGCTACTTATTAAATAATGCTCCTGCATAAAAGGGAAATCACCCATTGGGCTGACCTCAAGATCAGAAAAACCCTGCTACCATCAGCAAATTACAGAACCTACTTTCGCTGATCTGATGATAGCCTCTATTTTTGGCACATCCTCCTTCCCATCACCTCAATTCTAATCCCGATGCCAGATGTGCAAGTTATTTAGGAATTTAGTCTATTTTCTTTACTGTATGGATACATTACTCTTGCCATCTTTTTGGCGGACGCAATACCCTGTTTGCCTTCAACAGAAGCCATAGGAATGAAAGCTTCTTCAGTCCATTCTGTAAAATCCAATCTCTTTTGGACAAAAACTTGTCATTTGCATTAATTTATAAAATGTTATCCACACTGATAGTGCCACAGAATTAAAATGGGAATACAATACTTTCCTATTTCAAAAGTAAGGGAGGTGGTGAAGTGTTTCAGAGATGAAATGTCCATTGACATTTTAAGTTAACTGCACATTTACTTTATAAATATTTTTAAAGGCATTCATTTCTACATGAGACGATCAAATCTCAGTTAAACCCTGTTCACACCAAAGATCAAATATTTCAATGGCAGGAAAAAAAAAAAAAAGAAATGAAAATTTAGAAAAACATGCACAGTTCATATGCCTTGAAAACAATCATTTGCTTTATGTGTGTCAACTGACACCGGCTGCTCGAACATCCAGCCCACATGATTTTTAGTTCAATAAGGTTGTAAAAAAACCAAGACTTATCAGCCACAGTATCCTCAGATGAATATTCTGTTCCTTCTTATTTTGCTGATTGGCAAAGGCAGATCTCTATTTTACTACGGTAAGAAAGTAAAAAGCGAAGCACAATGCTCTTCCTTAGGGGAATTGACTTCTTGGCAATCACTCAGGATGTAATGCCAAAAAAAAGGAATGTTAAGTTGCCTTGATTTTACAGTATATACCTATATAAAACACCCCTCTTACTCTTTTCATTCATTACCGCACATCTGTGAAATGCCTAAAACAGAATTTAAATGCAGTCCCAGGTGCTTACGCACTATATGATCTGAAAGTTCAAACTCCTGTAGACTCTTACAGATGAGGATTTTCCCTTAATCCCCCCTCTGCTGATATCAGCAAGCACTTCAAAAGCACGTTAGGCATCAAAATGTATGACCGCAAACTGCTGCACGCCAGCTGATTATGGCGAGGTCTGTATTGGGACGGAGGACGAGAGGAAGCACCACGTACGCTCTTTGTACACGTAAGACTCACGGCGGTGATGATTTAGGTCCAACTAAACCAGAGCTCATTTTAAATGCTCGAAACCCTGGTCTGGGTTGATAAACGAATACAATAGACCATGAGTTAACAAAAATTACACACAGTAAACCTAGCCGTGTCTTTATTCACAAGAGATTTTAAAGTGACTTCATAGAATGTGTCTTACATAAAGGTGAAGAGCGAAGGAAATGGGCTGCTGTTCATTTACTACATAAATTCTGTAAATGTATTTAAAGACATTTCAACGGGGGTGCTCTAACCCACATTAAGGAGCCTTTTTGATCGCTTTTTTCCCTGAGCCATGCCAGTAGTGACCGTTCAAAGTCCATGTATTATCCCTTATCTGAATGCTTCGACGGACTCTTTACGTTGCTGACCATATCGTAGCCCTGTAAGACACGTCGTCTCCTGCCCCGCAGTTACCCGTTTTCATACTATGGCTTTTTACTGGTTATTTTTCAAAACACTGCCTTGTCCTTCCAGGCACTGCAGACCCAATACAGGTCAATGTGAACAGGGTCACGTCCTTCAAGTCAACGAAGTCCATTTTCTTGGATTAATCTGTTGAAGGAGAGCACCGTCTCCGTATTGATCTGCTGTGCTTGTTACGCTACCCTAATGCACTATTTGCACTTTTGGGAAAATGCTAAATGAGATTACTGTCTAACATTAGATGGCCATAAACCATGTGCTGCAGGATCTCCTGTTCAGGAGAGAAGGTTGCGATGCGCATTATGGTAACCCCACCGAAGGGTTTGCGATTGATTTCTGTTTGGTGATGGATGACAGGACTCTCGGATGGATCATCAGAAACAGCCAACAGCAAGGAAACTCCTCAAAAGGGAAGTGAAATATCTCCCTAACAGAGAACTTCTCTACAGTTCCTACAAATAAGGGTCATTTTACAGAATCTTTTAAGGGGCTGTGGGGCTTGACTGAAGAAAAAGCTTGCAAGAAAAGGTAAGCAGTGCAAAACCAGTAATTATGTGGAATCTGTTGTGGAAACACGGAGGTTTTAAAGCTCTGAATGGATAAAGCAACCTGGTCTGGACCCAGAGCTGATGCTGCTTCAAGCAGGAGGTCTCTTCCCTGAACCGTCCTGTGCCCTCAGAGAGAGATCTGTATTTTGGGACACGTGGCAGGGAAAGTGTCCAGCCATTTTATTTATGTATCTATGTATTTATTTATTTATGTATTAATTTAATCTCCTGGGAATTTCACGACTAAACTGAAGGAAAAATATATGCCATAGTAGTGAACCGGGACTCCCAGGGAACCCTGACAGATCTCCATCTCCATCCAGAGCAACTCAATAACTACTTTACAGAATCAACACACATGAAATCTAAAATGCCTTTCTTAGCAAAAGTCAATATGAACAGCAGTCTGATCTGAACCGTGCGCCACATGGCACGCTCGTAATGACGTGGTTTTATTAAGTTTACAATTACTTGATCTGCTTTCGCTTTACCAGCTGCTCCTCAAGCACCTCACGTGCTAGCAGAATATTTCTGCGAGCTGGAATAAACCTCCGAGAAGCCGCGCACCCACCTTTTCCATCAAGCTGATACACCGCAATCTCGTAAAGGTAACAGGATGAAGACACAAAAGAAAACGAGAGAGAGTTTTAAAAAGAAATATTCTATGCTAAAGCATGCAGAGAAAATTTAATGAAGGTAACTTTGTACTCATCTAGCCTCTCTCAAAGAGCATAGCTTATTGTACTCCTGGGGGCGCCGAGAGGAGCCCCTTCATGGCATTCAAACAAAATGTCTACTAAAGAGGAAATCTGAAATCACCACGGTAAGCTTTACAAGTTTTGTGATAGAACTGACATTCTGACTGAAGGAATCTGAATCGCTGATGAGTTTCCAACTGTGCAGGTATCTGGCATAATCCCACCAGATCGGGACTTCAGGCATTTGTCATAAAATATGGGGAAAAAAACAGCAACAAAAAACCAGCATGCATTACAAAAAATAGGGCCATTAGATGGCCAGAAGTATCCAGGGCTTAATTTTATTCCTCATTAAAATGCTGACACCTATCAAAAAAATGTCTTTTTATTTGTGCAACCCTTGGCATCTAAGGCTATCTCTGTACCACTAAATAAAACAGACCAGAGACGATCCTCTGGGTCTGAGGCCAAGCACTAAGGTACCGCGTGACCTGCATCTCTAAACGTAAAATTCTGCCTTCCTCTCCAAACCGCGTATCCACATCCAAACTGCAAAGTGGGGATGGTCCCCAGCAAGTGTTCTTCCCCCAGCCGTGTCCGGTGTTGTCCAGGGAAGTGTTAGCTCCAAAACAAAACTCTATAAACGAACGTGCTACCAATTAGACCCAATGCACCAGCACAGGAGAGCGCTGGAGACGACGTCCTGACCTGTTTTATTTACTCCTCACTGAGAGGAGAGGAGCTACGCTGCGACCTGACCCCATCTGCGCTAGGCAGCATGCAAATTAAAAAAAAAAAAAAAAAAAAGAAAAAAGAAAGAAAAGAAAAAAGAAAAAAAAAGAAGGCTGTTTCGTTTCACAACGTGCTTATAATGCACATAAACAACAAATTGATGGTGAAATAAAAAGCAACTGAGGCAATCTGTACTCTCGCGATGCGCAGCCTGTAAGATTAGCAACAGCTTAATTGTTTTCAAGCGCTTTATGAGCAACCAAGAGGATTTTTAGAGGGATTTGTGGGAAGTTAATCAATTAACGTTGTCTACGTCTAGCAGAAATTCCTTCTGAGAAACAGTGAAACTCTGCGCTTGATTGAAAACTGGATGAGGGAGGGTTGGAAGGTGACATCACGAGTGGTTCAGAGAGAAAGTAAACAGGGAGTTGGAAACGCCAGGGAAGCAGAGAGGGGACATACAGGGTTTCCAAAGTGAAGACGTGTGACTTGCACGGGATAATGTTGATGGGGAAGCCGGTGGCAGGATGAAAGGAGATTATGTGAATCCAGGGTAGGAAACTATCTGCAGCATTGCTTTCAACAGACATCATCAGGGTAAGATTTCACTTGACATGGCCAGGGGACAAATAAAAATAATACAAAAAATGTTGCAGTAACTGGTAGCCTGAGTTGTGATAGATTTAGCTGAGCAGATGGACGAGAAAGGCCAAGTTTGAGATATTTTGCATAACGAAAGCCTAGCTGAGAAGACCTGGAGAGAAGGTCAGCTCAAAGATGAACTGTAAACGCAAAGTCTGAAACAGCAGCAAGACGGTGGTATTTTCCCTCGTGACACAAAAAGCTGGTGGTGAGAGGGTTATTCTTTTTCTAAGATTACCCC